CAGCAGAGAAAAACAATGACAGCATGAAATTTGCAGGCAAATGGATGGAACTAGAAAAAATCATCCCGAGTGAGGTAACCCAAATCCAGAAGGACAAACATGGTATGTACTCACTCATAAGTGGATTCTAGATATAAAGTAAAGAACAATCAGACTGCAGCCCACAGCTCCATGGAGGATATATATATATATATATAGCATAGGGGACCCTAGGATGACTATGACTTATAATAAGTTTTGGTTTTACTCAATTACTGAACAAGCCTCAATGAAAAATTTCACTATTAAGATAAGAATTTATACTGCATCGAGCTAATAATAGAAAAATAAATTAATTAATTTTAAAAAATAAAAAAAAGAAAAATTTGAACTATTAAAAAAAAACCAAACAAACATATTTTGCTAAAGTAAAAAGGGGCAACTAGGGACTCATAATTCATTTCCACATGCTATTCTTTCCCTTGTTTTATATATTTTAAATTTTTTATTGGTGGATTCTGCTGGAATATCTGCTGCAGATAAGCACTGGAGGGCTCCTGTTGCAAATCACCCTCTGGAGCGATGGAAGGATCTTCCTACTGGCACTTGGAGGAGACCTGATCTGGTGTTGGTATGGGCCCGGGGTTCTGTTTATATCTTTCCTCAGGACAATGAGGTTCCTCTTTGGATTCCTGAGTTCTGTGTGCACCCTGTGGCTGTTGCTGAAGCCCAACATGGCAGAGACCTATTGGCCTGTGAGAAAAACTCTCCCCTTCTGTGATGCCAATGGGGATTGAGAGCCCAATATGGCCAGCCTTGGCAAGCATTAACATAAGGCTAGGAACTGTAGCCATGCGGTTGGATTCTACAGAAGGTAATGTATGATAACTGCTTTTTCAAGTATGTTTGAGAACGTGTCACCCAGACACCTTAGAGAATAATAACCCTAAAGGTCACTGACCTCCATTTGTTAACAGTAGCATGCCAGCTAATCCTTTTCATTTTCACAATCCTCTTCAAGCTGGTGTAGTACCTACTTTTCATGAGTGGCTCTGTGAAACATTTATTGGCCTCCTGAAATTCATTTAGCCCCCTTTGAAGATATCTTAAATTTTATGAGCCTGAATGTAGCCATTATGAGGCCATTAGTTATGCTCCTTGTGAGCTGCCTGTTTTTTCTTTATGGTTCTTAGTTGTTCTTTTACAGAGCTACCAGCTTAAGTCTTTCTGGGATCAAGAAAAATGGGTCTTGGTGGTTCATGTTCCTGGAGTTGTATCCATGCCAGTGGAAGCCCCACACGCTCCAGAAGAGAATTTGACATTGCTGCTGCCGTTGTTGCTGTTACAGCAGTGGTGGCCACCACTGCTACTGTTTCTGGGATTACCATTTCATAATTGCTTACTACAGCTAGCACAGTGAAGACACTGGCAGCAAAAGTAGCTACCACAGTTAGTTAATCTTTCATTCTATTGGGCATGATAAATTTAATTCAATAGTTATATACAGTTCGATTGGCTTTGAAAATTATAAATTTATAAACTCAAGATCCATTTGCTTTTGGGATACCATCTTACAAGGACTCCAATTTGTAATAAGGCTCATTAAGGAAGGGGAATGGCTCAATTGCCTTTAGCCTACTGGCTATGGGTGGGTTAGGACTTTTGTTGGTCTTTTCTGTGTCAAACACACAGATTGCAAGCCCAGTGCCACTTTGAGACCTTTGGCAGCATTTAACTCTGCAGCTCACACACAATTGAGCCTGTATGATAATGAGTATTCAGAGATGGGTAATGCCTGGGGGGCGCTCACAAACCTAAAGAGAGCGGCTATGTGGCCTGGGCAAGCATCTCCATGACGGGTAAGGTGACCTGCTGACGTCCCACGCAACCTAAGTCAGAAGCCCATTTTCTAGTAAAAGGGGAACCTGTAGGGTCCTGGCCCCCGTTTTAGGTAACTGTTGCTTTGCTTGCTGACCTTGACCTTGATATCCTCCCTGTGCAGGTTCCACCCTCCTGAATGCTTAAGGGAAGTTCTTTGTCTGTGTATCCTGCATAATGGGCGTTAACAGCTTAGATGCAAGATTGTAAAACATCGGTAACAAATTTCTGCCCTCTGGGGTTCTCCCATTGTGCTGTAAGCCTGTATTTAAGACCTCCTCCCTCCTTCAATAAACAGCATTTGGCAAAATTAATTAATTAATTAAAAAAGGAAAGTTCTTACCTAATACAAAACTATATACGATAGAAATGATTACCAAATATTGTCCAGGAAGAATAAGGAATAATGACCTAGACAAGATAAAATACATCAACAAGAACAACACCAAACAAGAGACATATACTAAAATCCAGAGAAGTCTGGAACATAGGTAAATGGCACGTTACAGAGATCATTCCAAAAGATGTCCTACCCACATGGTTTATATATATACACACAGGTGAACACACCCATAAAATATATATGATATATTACACACACACACACACACACACACACACACACACACACACACACACACATCCCATACCAGGAATGTGCTGTACACCTGTAATCCCAGCACTTCTGAGGCAGAGGCAGGAGCATCTAGTGTTAAAAGCCAGCCTTGGTTACCTAGTGAGTCCAAGGTCAGTCTGGGCTACATGAGACCACGTCTGAAAAAAAGCAACCCTTGCACATGCTGTCATTGGCTCCTGGCCTAGCACGCCACAGTAATTCAGTGAGAAGCAGCAGTCCTTCCAACAACTGTGGAGAGTTCCACGTGAAAGGACAAGGTTCTCCCAGACACAAACACTACCTCGCCATGACATAGACCCACATGTACAAACTAGACCTATCAAACTCTCAGAAGATGATGGGGAAGCCAGTCTCTGTAATCTTATCAAACTCTCAGAAGATGATGGGGAAGCCAAATCTCTGTAATCCCAGCTTTACAAAATATTCTTGGCTAAGGCATGTGATGGCTAATCCTGATTGCCAGCTTGACTGCATCTACAATCCATGCAGATGCAAGCCTCTGGTCACTCCTGTGAGGGACATTCTTGTTCAGATCATCTGAAGCAAGAGAAGCCCTTCTGGTGCACCTCCCAGATAAAGGGACATGGAAGGAAACTTCTTTTTGCCTGCCTGCTCTCACTCTCACCAGTGAGTTCATCTACCCTGTTGCTGAGGCATTCCTTCCCCAATATTAGAACCAGCTTTTTCAGGATTCCAACAAAGATTAAAGACCAGGAGCTCCCCAAGAATCCTCCAGGACTACAACCCCAAACTGGGACTGCTGAGCTATCCAGCCTTGTGGCTAGAGCAGCTACTGGATTCTTGGCCTCTTGTAGTGAGACAGCCAATGTTATACTATCCAGGCTACATCCTGTAAGCCAATCTTATGAATACCTACTGAAAGGACTGGAATCCGCACAGGACACACCAACTTCTCAACACAAGGGAGGTTTATTTGCCCCAGAGGGACAAAGACAGGGGACAGGAGACAAGGGAGAGGGAAGAAAAGGGGCAAGGGAGATGGGGAAGGGATACTTGCACCCGAGGGGCAAAGGACTGCTCTAGATGGAGAGGATACAGATGTGGCCCATAGGCAAATGGCAGTCTATAAAGGGTAAAAGGGAAACCCTGTGTTAGGATGAGGTGTTTATTTTGATTGGACAGGGTAGTCAAAAGGGGCTTTTGATTGCTGGACTTCAATACTTTGATAGCTGGACCTTGGTGGTCAGCCTCAGAGGGGAGGAAGTGGCCAAAGAAGGGTACAGACCTTGGTTTTTAGCAACAGGGAGAAGGGTGAAAGACAAAACCTGTTGGTATCATGTTTGCCATGCTTGGGCCTGCTAGAGCCCTTCCTTTACATCCATGCTATCAGTTATTTTCCTTTAGAGAATCCTGACTAATACAGGCCATCACAGGCAACAAGAGAACCTGGGTTTCTTAATTAAAAACATCTGTGGCAAAGGAGCAACATGCGCTGCTCTAGATCCCAGAGGTCCCGTGCCACCAGAGGTCACCCACACAACTACACAGTAATACAGCTGTCACAAGCACAGCCCGCAGAGCCAGGTTGCCTTGGCTCCAATCCCAATGATACAATTTACCAGTTCGATGACCTTACCGAGTTGCTTCACCACCTGTTTCTCAGAAGCAAGGATGTGGGCACACAGGACAATATCTGCCTAGAAGGTTCCTGAGATGCAAATCAGGCACTTGGGATGCTTTCCAGGGTAAATGGCAGCTTCGATATCACTGCTCTGACACAGTTTCCTCCAGTCTTTCCCTCTGTTTAAAATAAAACATGAGGCCTTAGTTTTGGTCTGAAGTCCTGTATGTACAGCCCCAACAGACCAGACCCAACCAACATTAACATTACACGTTGCATTATCAGACTGAAACTTTTAGGCCGCCTGGGAGATTCCTCTCGGCTTCACTCTTCAAAAAGGTAGCTCCACCCTCACCAGTTTGTTCCTTGTCTCTGTTCCTCTTGTTTCCGCTTTACAAATTCAGTTTCACGCCGGGCATAACGGACTAGTCTACTGTCCTGACTACTGCCAAGACTCATGGACCAGGAGAATGAGTTCAAGGCCAGCCTGGACAACTGAGACCATTAGGGAGAATTAAGGTCTCGGGTGTACAGTGGCAGTCCACTTCCTAAGAAGTCCAGAGTTCAATGCACGCACCTGAGAAGTACGAATAGCACTTCCTGCCCAGGCCCAGTGTAGTCCGTAAACACTACAAACAAATTCAACCTACAGCTAACTTTGCTCAAACTCTGTCTTAAGATAGCACCCTGCAGATTCGAAAAGCTGCAGTCAGCTCTTTCTCTCACTGGAGAGCATGACCTCCGGGCAGAGTGCAAACTCCAGCAGGCCCCCCGTCCTGTCCTGAACCTCCCGGGTCCCGCATGTCCTCACCGCCAGGATCCAGCTTGGGGTCCCCGGTGTCACCCCGGCGTCCTGCGCACTGTTTATCAGGAGTGTCCTGGTGTCTGAGGGCGGGGCAGGCTGGAGAAGCCGGCCCCACCTCCCCCGACCCATCCTGGAGCGTGACGTCATCCCTCCAAGCCGTTCTCCTCCCTTCGCTCCAAGTCGCGGCAGGCTCGTGCTACGTCATCATTCGGTGCCGACCCGTAACCAGGGAAATGTGGATGCTTCGAAAGGCTCCGCTCAGCTGCGGTTCCGGGTTTGGAGTTACAGGTTTCGTCGCGGTCGCCCTCGGCCTGGTTAGAGCCCTCGGGCTTACTCAGAAACTGCCCTTGAGAGTGTAATTTTGAACTTTTCTTGTAATGCCAGGAAGCTGAGGTAGGAGGATCATGAGTTTCAAGCCAGGCTGGCTAACGAGATCATGTCAAGTAAATAAATCAGTCTGTCACTCTCAGCTCTGACCTGGTTTACTTCAAGAACTCTTGGTAGCATTTGCCCACCTGTCCTCCAGCTCCTCCTAACTCTGTGGTCCCCTCCTGGGTGTTTGGACACTGCCTAGCCTGTGTGTGACAGAGAACTAACTCATTGGACACCTCTGTGTTGATCCCGAGGGACAATGAGACTGCAGGATGGTGGTGAGAGGAAGAACCGGACCATGCCTTCCTCAGCTGCAGACAGTGCTAAGGTCATCAGAAGGAAAGGAAGGGTTTTGCCCTTGTCTCATTAGCTACTTCCTGATAAGCCCCTCCCCCACCCAAGGCTGCAGGTGGGATGACTCTTTGGAAGCTTCAGCTGAGAGCAACCTGGCCCTGCCAGCAGACCCCACCCCTGCTCCCTGGTTGCTCACTTTTGCACACATGGCTCACATTGGTGAAGATATCCTATGTGTTTGTGCAGGATGTTCACCTGGATTTCTGCAATCCCTAAGCCATGCTTCAGGCAAACTTGAGTCGGGAGGAGGGAAGTGGAAAGCCATGCCTTTCGACATAGAAGTGATAGGAACCCTGAGAAAGCCCAGACTTCGCCTCATTCTACAGACCTGTCATGCCACCCTCCTCCTTTTCTCGTCACTTGTTCTGTTGGGTGCACATTTGTGTCTGTTATTGTGGTGTTTGAGACAGTCTCATGTAGCCTGGGCTGGCACCACATTTGCCATATAGCTCAGGATAGCCTTGAATTCTGATCCTTCTGCCTTTATCTTCCAAGTGTTGAGAATACAGGCAAGTGCCAACGCACTTGGCTGTGCATTGTTAAAGTTTACTCCCACACTCTGGTTACTTGTCTCTCCACACACCTTCCCTGTCACCGCGACACCCCCATAAGTTCAAGACTCCCAGGAAAGTGATGGGGGAACAGTCACGGCACACTCAGTGGAGAACATGGGGTGAGGATTCAGCACCAACCATGGCTGGTGACGGCTCTGCCAGGGCCAGCCACACCCGCCCTCCTGTACAGTAGTGGGTGGCTGGGTTGTAAGATCACAAGTGTTGAAGTTTAATCTTTGTGAATGTTCCCAGTGTAAACCAATGGAGGGAGAAATCCTACTGTAAACACAACCATTCAATCCAATGGTTGTCAACCTAAAGCAGACTCACGCTCTCAGGAGTCAAAGAGCTTTTGTGGCCGGGTGGTGGTGGCACATACCTTTAATCCCAGCACTTGGGAGGCAGAGGCAGGTGGATCTCTGTGAGTTCGAGGCCAGCCTGGTCTACAGAGTGAGTCCCAGGACAGGCTCCAAAGCTACACAGAAAAACCCTGTCTCGAAAAACCAGAGAGAGAGAGAGAGAGAGAGAGAGAGAGAGAGAGAGAGAGAGAGAGAGAGAGCTTCTGTGGAACTAGGAGAGCATTGCCATCTGGCCATGCATGGCCTGACTAATCATAGCATATCTGATGATTAGGTGACCAAAGGGAAGTTCACACAAACCATCTGTTAAAAGAGCTTGCTGCAGGATTTGGCATTACCTCAATGGTGAAGATATCCTATGTGTTTGTGCAGGATGTTCACCTGGATTTCTGCAATCTTCTCCCCGTGAGCCATGCTTCAGGCAAACTCGAGTGGGGAGGAGGGAAGTGGAAAGCCATGCCTTTCGACATAGAAGTGATAGGAACCCTGAGACAGCCCAGACTATCAGGGCAAGGATGGTTAGGCTTTTGGCCAACACTCAGTGGAGAACATGGGGTGAGGATTCAGCACCAACCATGGCTGGTGACGGCTCTGCCAGGACCAGCCACACCCGCCCTCTTCTAGTTGTGAACTCCTGTACAGTAGTGGGTAGCCCAAAAGGGTGCTGGGTTGTAAGATGCACACACAAATGTTGAGGTGCACAAAAGAGAAGGAAAAGAAAACAAATGCTTCGTGCCAAACCATAGATCTGAGTTCAGTGAGTTCTTGTATCTCAGGACCAAGTGTGGCAACAGGGACACAAAGCCAGAAATGGAAACAGAATCAGTTTATTTTAAAAAGGAAGAACTGGAGAGATGGCTTGGCAGTTCAAAGTGGGTCTGTGGTGATATTTTATTTGTGCACCCCAATAAAACTTATCTGGGGATCAGAGAACAGAGCCAGTCACCAAATTAGATAAAGAGTCAGGCAGTGATGGCACACACTTTTAATCCTATCATTAATCCTATCACTCGGGAGGCAGAGATCCATCCAGATCTCTCTGAATTCAAGGCCACACTGGAACCGAGCCAGGCATGGTAGCACACACCTTTAATCCCAACACTTGAGATCTCATGTCTTTGCTTGGGAAACACACAGGCCTTTAATCCCAGGAGGTAATATGGCAGGACATAGAAAGGTATATAAGGCAGGAGTAAACAGGAAGTCTCGCTCTGGAGGCTGAGGAGTTGGTGTGGTAAGGTTGGCTGTGGCTTGTTCTGTTTCTCTGATCTTCCAAGTTTCACCCCAATATATGGCTCTAGGTTTTTTTTTTTTTTCGGATTAACACCTTTTACTGTTTCACATTTTTTCCCCAGAAAATTTGTAACAAAAATACATGGAATTGAAATTTGAGTTACAGTACATTGTGTGATTACAGAATATAAACAATGAAGACTATTCCTTCTCATGGGGGCAGAACATTCTATTCCACTAAGAGAATCATAACATGATTAGGCACAGTTAATCTACACTGTCGTTCTAATCGCAGAGACTGGCAGACTTGGGAGAAAAATTAAAAAATAAATAAATAAAGCTGAAAGGTTGACTTCCAGGGTCCTCCTGACCTTTCTCCTCTTCCTACCGTCTTCACGTAAGCTGACGGTGAGGGCGTGAGGGAGCGGCTTCAGGTTTTTTTTATTATTAATAAGACCATTCAGCAATTCGTCTTACATGGATCTCCTTCTTTCTGGGTACTTTCTGATAAGTGGCCCAGAAAGAAGATCCAAGAAAGAAACAGAAAAATTCCTCACCACCACTATGGCCACACTGGTCCTGGCCAGGCAGTTCTCAGACCCCTGTCTAGCCTTGCTATGTTACTAGGAAACTTTGGTAACAGAAAGACCTTGCCTCAAAAACAGACAGACAAAACCCCCAAAATAACAAATAACTACTTTATATTCTAATAGCAACTAAAATGAGAAGGGATGGCCAGCTTTATACCCGCAGCCCCAAGCCAGTGAAGCCTTTTCTGTAAACATTCATTCCCTCCAGAAAACTTTGCCCTTTACTTTTGGCAATACCAGCACATATGTGCATGAGTTGGTGTTCGCCATTGTGAAAGCTGCCGTGACCTGGACAGTCGGGTATTCTGGAGTGTGGCCTTTGGGAAAAGGCACAGATTTCTCTTTAAATTACTTGTCACTGAGTTTTCTCTCTCAGCACCTTTGGGATTAGGGGAGCCAAAGTGAGTCACTAGCTTCTCTCTGGGTCTCTGCAACACACACACACACACACACACACACACACACACACACACACACCTTACTCTCCAGGCTCAATGGATCCTGACTTGTGGGTCAGCCTCTTCTGCCAGCTGGCAGTTTCTCAGGGACAGTCTGCTTAGCTCTGTCTCTTCAGTCCCACCGTTGATCTTTGGCTGTTGCAGCACAGCTAAAGACCTTGAATAGGATGGCACTACCACACATCAGGCTGAGGCCCTTGGCCCTAACTGTATAGAAATCATGAGGAGACAAAAGGTAACCTCTTCAAGGGCTGTCTGGTTTCGATGGCTTTTGTATCCCTTAGTTTATGCTAACAGTGAGTTTATGGCAGCACATGGCATGAGCAGCAACAAGTTGCGCCCTCTAGTGTTACATCTCTGTAGGACTTGGGACCCTGAGTCCTACAATGACGAGTGTTACAGCTCTTATATATAGGTCTAGAGTGTCAGAATTCCACGCCTTTCCTAGCACTAGTGTTACAGCTCCTGGGTGTAGGGTGTCTGAGACCCTTCACTCTCAAGTCTCTGAAAAGCAGCCTTTAGCTTTTCCTTGGCTCTTTACAGCCTTCCATCCTCCAGCCTCAGTTCTGCACACACTCTTTATTCCTGATGTTCTGGTTTCTGCCCCAGCTACCCTCTGTCTTTTCAGCTGCCTCTGTTCCTATGATCACTGTCATGACTGCGGCCACTGCAATGCTTTGCTGTTTTTCATGATGTCCTCACTGATGTTACAGTTGCTACCACCATCAATTCTCTGCTACCCACCCGCTGCCAGCCCCTGCCACCCCTCTGCTGCTCCCACAGCTCCACTCCGCCACTCCTGCAGCTCCAATGCGGCTGTCATGGCCGCTGCTCCACCGTCTCCTTCAGGAGCTGCAATTTGCTTCAGCAGCAAGCAATTGGAATTGTTGTGTAGCTGCTTTCAAAGCCTCCATGGATCAGCCTGGCTCCCTGAGGGTCATCGTGAAACCCAGGAGCAGCAACAAGGTGAAATGTTTGCTCATACGGGTGTTGCCAACAGGTTGGGAGGCGAGGTTAAGGGGTGAGAGCTTGGCTCTTTGGACCACAGAGCAAAAGGCACGCTGTTGAATGTGCTCCAACAAAAACACAGCTATCACCTTAAAGGGGTAAGAGATAGCTTAGTCTGGAGTCAAATATGAGTGACTGTGGTTTAAAAACCATGTTCCAACGTGATGAGTTTCATGCCGTTTTTACAGTAACAGAATCCACAAAGTATTTTTAAAATACACTTGCGAGTATGATCAGGTAGGTGGGTTAAAACAATGCGGGGAAATCGCTGATGACATTCTTAGCCTTCATGTCAGCGAAAGCTAATAAATAGTTTGTACATTCCAAAAGGATTTAATAAATACGTTGCTGGGGACCTCAGGTGCCAAGCCTCTGCTGTCGTTTTCTTATGTTTTCGGATGACAGCCTTAGCTTTTGGGTTGGCAGAAGCTAACGTTCTGCCAAGTTAATGTATTTCAGAGCTTTTACTTTTAGTCAAGGATCTGGGGTCAGACACGAGATAGGCAATAGATGGCTATGAAAGGGCCAAATAATCACTCTAGGTAATGCTGGCTTTGGATCTGCCTTCCAACTCTAAACAATCACGAAATTCTAGTCACCCAGCCTTGTAGAATCCGCCACCTAAGTGTGGCTTTCTGCTGGGTCTCTGTTACGTCTTGTTTGCTAAAGGAACAGCGCCCTCCCCATACTTCTCTCTGTGTTACTGTTAGCTTTGCCCTGGGAGAGGTAGGACCTATGGGGCCAAATTATATTGGGGGGGGGGCGTGAGATGGATGTACTGCTCCAGGAAAGCAAGTCAGAGGGCTAGTTCTGAGCGTTCAGCTGGTAAGGATCCCCGGAGATTCGGTTCATGGAGGCCGATGCTCCCAATCGGCTCCTCTCCGACCTCGTCTCCGCCAGCTGCAGGCGCCCCACCTGTACAAAACAGAGTGGGCTTCCGGCTCTAACTCCGTGACGTCAGTGCGCGCCGGCGCGTCATCCCGGCGCGCCGAGCAGGCAGAGATGGCGGAGTTGGGCAGAGTGCCCCTGTGCGACCCTGCGGCTCTGCTTCCCACGGGCTTCTGGGCCGCCGTGGCCGTGTGGCTGGAGAGGCCGCAGGTGGCCAACAAGCGGCTGTGCGGCGCCCGCACGGAGGCCCGCGGGAGCGCTTTCCGGCCCCGCGCCCAGCCGGAGAAAGGACCACGGCCGGGACAGGGCCCCGGGCTGGAGGGGCATGACGCGGGGGAACGCGGACAAGCTTCTCCCGAGGGAGAGCCAGGGTTAGGACCTAGAGCGGGCCGAGAAGGCGACGTCTCCGCAGCTGACCTGGACTCTCTGTGGGACCGAGTATCTCAAAGCCTCGTCCACGACAATCCGGAAATGCTGGCCTTCCTCTCTGGCCCCGCGTTGGATTCTCAGCCTGAAGCCCCGCAGAAGCTCGACCTGGTTCTCAGAACCGTCATCCCGAAAGCGAGCCCTCACTGCCCGCTTACAGAGCCGAAGAAAGAACTGGTGGTGCAAGGTGGGAGCGTAGTGGGAAGAGCACGAATAGATTGAAAAGCTTTCGCTTTTTGAGACAGGGTCATATATGGCCTGGAATTTGCTATGTGGACCAGGCTGGTCTTGAACTCACAGAGATCTGCCTGCCTCTGCCTCCCAAGTGCTTGGATTAAAGACATGTACTAACGTGTCCAGTCTGAAATGCATTTATTCACAAGGCTCTAACATAGCTGTAGGGCCTGTGCCTTTGCAGCGTACAGAGGCCATGGGCATTGAGTGGCTTTAAGAGATCTGTGGGAATGTGTGTCCTCAGTAGAGAATGGGATTGTTGAGCAGATGCTGGGGATCTGGAAGGCTTCAGCGACAGGTGAAGGATGGGCTGGGTGTTGGAGGATACTTTAGCATCTGTAGAGGTAGCTGAGGAGGAAGCTGTTCCTGGACAGATGACCTGTGACTGAGTCTAATGAATACCACACATTCCTGAGTATTGAGCCTGGATGGATGGCAGCCAGTGGTGGTCATCAGACATGAACTTGGAGTATTCCTAGCCTTGAGATGTCAGGGTATCCCTGCTTTGAACTTAACCCCAACAATGTGTTGACTTTCTAGCTACCTCTGTAGCAGATTACTGCAAATGCAATGGCTGGTCAGACAAACTGGTCCTTGCTCAAAGCTCCGTGGGTCAGAATCCTGGTGGACTCTGCTGGTTTCCAAGCACTGGACTCTTGAAAGGTCCAAATCCACAAGCTGGCTGACAGGGCTCTTCCCAGGAGTCTCTGGGAAAGACTGGGCCTCCAAGCTCATCCAGGCTGTCAGGGTCCAGTGCTTAGGGTTGTAGAACTGGAGCAGTGTTCTCCTAGAGGCCTCTTTGATTCTTTTGGCCTGCCCCTTGCATCATTATTGCCTGCAGCAGTGCCTGGCCCTTTGCATGCTTTGAATGGCTCTCTGACATCCTACCCTGCATCCACCTGGAGAAAGTTCACTGCCAGTTGGTGCTGATGGGATTGAGTTTGGTAGCCCAGAGTATTTTCCTTTATAATGTCTGTCAAGTTCCACATAATACCACATACTCCTGAGTACTGAGCCTTAGGGTGTGGACATCTTTGGGAGACCCTTGTGGGTCTCTTGGGCTGTAGTCACTGTAGATGCCTGCTGCTTCCTGCATACTGTTGACTGTCTCTCTGCCTTCCTAAGACATCCCAAGTGCTGTGCTCTGGACCTTGGGCCCCCTCTAGCGTAGTTCTTCCACCTGTTGTCACTAATGTCAGGGCATTAATTCTTTTCCATCTCCCAACTATCTTTACTGAGTGAGCTTAAGTGGGAGGTGTGGAGAAGGGAGGTATATGCTGGCTGCTCCCTCGGTATACTCGCTCGGTAGAGGGGGGCCAGACAGAATTTCCCTCCCTTCCTTCCTTCCTTCCTTCCTTCCTTCCTTCCTTCCTTCCTTCCTTCCTTCCTTCCTTCCTTCCTTCCTTCCTTCCTTCCTTCCAGAGAG